GGGGAAAAGATCCTGGAGACAGGTGATCATTCCCAGGGAAAAGACATAAGAGAAAAATATTAACTGAAGCCTTTTAGTTGTCACTTTAACCAGTAGTTTCAATTGTTTCTAAAATGTTTCATCCAACACATGTTCACTGAGAGCCTTCTTTGGGTCAAGTATTGAGTCGGGATCAATGGAGAACAATAGAACACCATCCTTGCTCTCATGCCAGCATAACTGGTGACCAGTTATTAGAAGATTAGTGAACAAGAACCAATTCAATGATTTGCATTTACCACCAATATTTGGATCATCATCTCAAAGTATTCAAAAGAATGAAGTGGTCTCCATGAAGACTAATTCAGCTTTGTCCCCCCCCAGAGTACAACACAGAACTGAGTACTGGTTGCTTAATGAACAAGAGAGAATTAAAATGCAAAGACCTACAATGAGAAGGAAGGGACTATGTAGTCATCAAGTAAGACAATGAGATATTTTAAAGGTTACAAACAGAAATCTCCAACCCTTCAAACAAAATAAACAAACAACCCCTCTTCCCCAACTCTGCTTTTTACCATGTGCAGGGAGACTTTTGACTTTTCCTTCAGGAGTTCTGTTGACATGGGCATCTGCCCGAGTTGGTTTTGCTTCTGCCTTGGAGACGTTCAGAACTGTCTGGGATTCTGTCACATGGAAATCTACCAAGTCAAAATGGAACTGGATCAGTTTTCTCCCCAATGCATTTTAAAACACGGGATCAACTACAAAGCAAAGCGCTCTTAATCTGTATAATGGCCAAGTACATAAATGGATCTTCTCATAAGTTGGGTGAAGTGGCTGGTGATGGAAATCCAATGCTCAAGCAAACAAGTAATAAAACAATATAAGCACAGCCTGTTGTCACCCCACCAATTTGCAAGGGCAATTTGTCTATAACAATTAATGCTATCACTGAAATAAGAAGTATGAAAATACTACATGCTGATTTTCCTCGACCATGCTAATATTATGTCCATTTAAGAGACATTTGTTAAATGCATAAAGGGAAATGGACTTTGACCACTTAGGCAATTCCTTCCCCTTTAAACTTTCAAGTTGCCCCCTTTCAGATTCCCTTTGCAACTGTTAACTAGGACGACAAGGTGGGCTTTTTTTTTTTTTGTCTCTTTCTATGGGGAGAATGAGAGAGTTTAGTGGGGAATTCAATTTTAGTTAAGAAACAAAGATCTGCCAGACCTCGAGAGTTCTCAGACTCTGGAGTTTGAGAACCAGAACTGCTGTATCCTTCCATGTCTTGACTTCTCTGTCGAACCACTCCATCCACATCTGAGAATTCATCATTGAAATCCTGAGAGAGACAATGAAAGGAAGAGAGGCCAATTTTTCCTCATTAAACAGGCAGGCTTTTGTGACTTGTGGCCATCTCCATTAGGCCTGACCCATAAAATACGGAAAAGAAGGAAGGATTACCCCACACTACTGGGATTTTCCTAAGAGATCAGAGTATCTGGTTACTGAAACTGAGATTGTTCTGGGCAGTTAGCATTCTGTCCACAACAGTGGCCAACTTGTTTGAGACAAATGTCTAGAGAAAAAAAAAAAAGCTGGAATGCTAATGATTTGGAAAGCTTCCAGTATAAAACTGAAGAATTCTCATTAGCACTTTGTAATGAGAAAAAACTGAGTGCTATAGACATACAGAGGAGAAAAGAGTGGATAGAAAGCTCTAAATCCAAGTTTGAATATGCAGACAGAGAGGTATTACTAAATTATAGTTTTTTAAAAGATGTTAAAAACAGAAGGAAAAATGACTTTGAAAGTAAACCATAAAATGAAAGTTTCAGCTGTTTTTTCTTCCCTCAACTAGATCAAAATAAGGTCAGTAATGTAAAATTTAAATTATAGGGAGATGATAGAGGAGTAAGGGAAAAGGCAGAGATGTTTCAGTTTGCATTCCTTGGACTCCTCCAAAGTACTTGGAACTACAGAGATAAGTGGGATCATTAAAATGTCCCAGCAGGAGTATAATTAGGCTGAGCTTTTAACATTTTAGTTAGCTGCCAGATGAAGAAGAGACTCCTCTTGCAAGCAAATCACCAACCTTTTGCCTTGAACTTGCCTCTTTTGGTCATCTCAAAATTCATTTGTATTTTACATAAGAATTTATAGGGGAACGAAAACTGAAAAAAATAAATCTCTTCAAGTTCATCATGATCTATTGAATGCCTATCGTGTTATCAGGCTGTATGCAAAGCTCCTCACATACATGATTGCATTTACTGCTCCTAACCACACGGTGATGTGGGCATTTTAGTGGATGAGAAGACTGAGCAGTGCCAGAACTTGCCTGATGACATCACATGATAGGTGGAGCCTGGATC